GTTTATAGAGCTCCCATCCTGCTTTGTTTTTTTTGTTTGTTTTGGGGGGTTTTTTCTTGCAGGAAGAGAGCACTGATACACAGCTCGGGGAAGTCAGTTCTCAGGCAGTGAGGGCTTTCCCAGATTTAGAGTAGGGATTAGAAGAAAAAAAAAGAAAGGAAGGAGAGCGAAGAGGGAGGAGAGGATAGGGGGGAGGAACACGAAGCCAGGCAGGGAGGAGAAAGAAGCGTGGTTGCTACACTGACAGTAGAGAAACCAGGCAGAAGTGAGAAGTGAAAGCACAGAGACACAGCTGTGCGTTAGTGTGTGAGGACAGACGGCAGCCAGACGCTCGGCTTTCCGCTCTGCAGTGTCGATTCAGTCTTGTGCTTTTCTTTTCTCTTCTTCTCTCTGGGAGACGGAGAGAGCACAGAGGAATGTCAGCGGGTTTTGGTTGGGAAAGTGTCTGCCGTCTGGGTCGGAAATGTCAGGTGTTTCCCCGTAAGCGTGTCTGACTCCAGGAGGGAAAACCAAGCGGGAGCAGCCAGCTGCTCTCTGAGAAAGTCTCGACTTTCTTTGGTACTCTTCTTCCCTCCTATCAGGTATTGTGCAGCCGCTGCGAGAGCTCGTCTTTGTGCTGATCAGTTTGTATTTTATTCCTCGCTGCAGGCTTTTGTTTCAGTGTGGGCTGCTTCATTGTCTGCTTGTTTCTGTCTGTACCTTCCTACTCATTTGCTCATCTAACCACAGGTTTTTGTAGAAGTTTGTAATTATTCCTTAGTTTGTCTCCCTTTTGTTCTAGCATTGTTTCATCCTGATGTGTTGGGAAAACGAGTTTAACATTTATTAAGATTCACCTGTTTTCTTGTGTTTTCAAAAATTCTGCCAGTAGCTCATAATCTGCTCATTATTTTCTTGACACAATGCCAGAAAATAGCAGAAGATATTCTCCATAACCTCCCCAGAGCTCAAGATTAGCTGTTGCCTTCACAAGTGCAACAAGTGCTGCATGGAAATGATGCATAAAAATGCTGAATTAAATCAGAAAGTCATCACATTTGAGGAGCTCAAATTTTCAAATGCTCTGAAGCGGCAAATAATTTCAGCTCTCTCTCTCTCTGTCCTTTTTTCCTTCGATGGTTAAATTAAAAGAAACTGAGTGTCTGAGAGTTTCAAAACTTTATCAGCATTGACTGAAAGATGATCTAAGTCACGACGACTTCAGTTAAGGGGTTTAACTCACTAAAATCCCCACCAGCAACCCAGCTCAGACACTCCAGCGCTCGTCTGGGGCAACGAGTTCGGCCTCGGTGGCCGGACAGCAGCAGCTGACGCACAACATGAGCTAGAGGAGAGCGTAAGCTTGTGAGCTGCAGTCGGAGATGAGCTTGGAGGCGTTACGCAACAGCTCGTCCAGAGATAGAGTGAAGCTGAACTTAGACACTTTTGGCTTCTTCTTCTTCCACACAGTATGAAATCATCACAGAGCTCCTCTCCCTCCCCCGCTGAGCGGCTTCATGCAAGAATAGAAATACCTGTTATGCTACCAGAGTCTTTAAGAGTTACCTGGAGATCTGTTTATTTGCAAGGTTTCCCCCCTTTTGCCTTTTTCTGCAGTAATTTTATTACGTGCATCATCTCGTTAGCTCTCCCTGAAGCACACGGGTCAATACTCCAGTGCCGGATGGTTTCCTGTTTACCACACTCGCTCGCTATGTGTGTCCGCCAATATGGAAATAATCAAAATAAATGATGATTTACTTGACGCTGTGTCTTAAAGGTCCACTTAGTACATTAGGTTTGTTTCACCTGTGGTGTTTTGAAGCTACGATCTTGTTGCGTGATCTTTTTCTTCGGTGGTTTGATGGCAAAGACTGTTTTACAGCAGTGGATATAAACTGGCATAAACTTTTCTTGTGCATTTGATTTGATCTTTTTGCTTCACACTCAATGGATGCTTGGAGAAAAACAATGCTGATAGTTGGCTCACCTTTTGAAATTAATTGAATATTATCATCAATGTTGTCAATAAAACCTAATTATTGGTTGTATACCACATATATGCAAAGAAATCATTCTTATTTAGCTACTATTATACCACAATATCATAAATAAACAGAAAGTAACCTAGGTCATGTAGACAACCTGGAAATACCAGGTAGGTCTTATGACCGAGATGTTATGACCTTTAATTTGAGTACACGCTCAAACCTCAAATCAAAACTACTGATCATTCTTTCGCTTGAGTCAAATGACTTCCTATTCATGTATAAAGTGAAAAGCAAAAAATACAAATAAAGAAATGAAAAATGAACAAAAAGGAAGTGGATACACATCGGGGACTCCAAGCCCAAAACGTGAAAAAAAGCACTACTCTTTCTAGAAATAAAGAAAGAGTAGTGCCACTACAGGAGCTGCAGGATCAAACATAAACTTGTGCTCCCTGGTTGGACACAAAACGGGAGAAAAAAGCTTAGAAATGTATGGCAGATAATTCCTGCTGAGCTCCCACTGCCTTTTTCTGTGGGGATTTAAACAACACGAGAGAACAGGAGCTAAGTTTACACATTTGCAACAAGTTACTTTCACAAACACACAATTTGAGTTCAGCCACATAAACCTAAACCCAATAACCACCAAGGAGGAGCTTTTCTAGTGAACAGATGCTGCAGAGCTGTGGCATTTGGGCAAATGTGAAAGACAGAGTAGGGGCAGCGCTCTTCTAGTAAGAGGCCAAAAGGTCAGTGTGCGAAGTCTGTTGGCTGAAATTTACTGGATTCAGGCTACTAGCTGCTGGAGTCTACTTACTGGGGATGTCTATGTGAGTATGGGAGTGATGACCACTGATAAAAGGCTGTTAAATGTCCATTAATGCTGGAAATAAGAGGTTTACTGATATTGGTCACAATAACTCTGAACTGTTCTGAAGATTAGCTGTTGGAGGTGTGTGTGTGTGTGTGTGTGTGTGTGTGTGTGTGATTGTCAGCTGTATGGCAGCTAACAGTCTGGTGAAATTAACCTTCTTGAGCAGCACCATCGCCTACACCAAACAGAGTTGGTTTAGGCTGAGGCAAACTGCATCCTAACTCGGTTTTTACGGCACTATCTGGACTTTTTTTTTTTTTGGAAGACTTCTTTAGTGAGAAACTCGCTTGCTGCCAATCGTATTTGGACTCAATTTCAATAAAGAAACTCTCCAGAAGCTTCTTTACTTTATGAATTAAACTTCTATTGCAAACCCAAATTGAGGTATAGCTGACTGGATTGGTTCATTAATCAATTCGACGACTGAACTGTGATTTCGAGCTGTTCTGGTAATTGCTGATGGTTCCTAAATGTGAGAATTTGCTGCTTTTTCTTACTTGCCTTACATCGGAGCAAAGTGGATGTGTTATAGGTTGGAATTGTAGGTTCAGGAGTTTTTCTGCAGCTTTCTCACAAATATAATTCAATTTACTTGGATTGATTGTGAAAGAATTATTATATTTGAAGTCGATGGCAATAAAAGACAGAGGAGTGGGCAAGAAGCGGAGAAGATGATGCCGGTGGTGGTAGTGATACAAACAGGGAGGAGGATGGGAGGACAAGGTGGTAAAATTGAGGACTGAGAATGAGACGAGGAGGAGGAAGATAAAAAAGACAGTGAGGGAACGCCATGTCTCTTTCGCTTGGATTATGTAACATTACCTCCTGCCTACTGCCAATGGCAGAGGAAATGCTCAGAAAACAGTGAAAGGGGCGGAGGTGGAGGTGGGCAGCGATATCAACATCAGAGAGGGAGAAGCAGCAGCAGTGGTGTCAGTCAGACAACCACAGCTTACCTAAAATAATGCTGGCGATCATTCAGTTAGCTGATTAACAGACATTGTCCTAGTTTAATGTGCCTTAATGTGGCATTTTTATCTCTGAAAATCTTTCAGACTTGTTTGACAAATCATTGAAAATATCTTATGGAGCCCTGTTTTTGCTTGTTTGTTTGTTTTTAAAACATATATATCAACATGTTGAGCAAAAACTACCGACTGATTGAAGATTTGATGATACCAAGATGATATCATCTCACACAGACGTTTTTGGGCCTTTCAGACCTTCATTTAGTTTCTGTGAAAAAATCACCAGCCACATTGTGAGGTACACTTGCTCAAATGCTTGTTAAAGCAAACATCTAATCGCATGGACGCGACCCAATGCATTTATGCACGTAGATGTGGTTGAGACAACCTGCTGAAGTTGAAACCAAGCATTATGTATGCAGGAGATATGTATTGTATTGTACATATACAATATATTGTATATGTACAATATTCTTGGCACACCTTGGGCCCTCTGTCGGAGTATTGTTGTTGACCATGTCACACCCCTTGTCATGAAGCTCAAACTGGTTTCTTGAACATGACAATGAGCTCACTGTACTCAAATGTCCTCCACAGTCACCAGATCTTAATCCAGTACAGCACCTTTGGAGTGTGGTGCAATGGGAGATCGACATCATGTGCAGCCATCCAATCTGCCGCATCTGTGCGATGCTATTGTGTCAATATGGCCTCAAATCTCTGAGCATTGTTTCCAGCACCTTGCTGAATCGGTGCCGTGAGGAAATACGACAGTTCTGAAAGTACAGTGAACTCATTGTCATGTTCAAGAAAACTGGTTTGAGCCGACTCGATAAAGTGTCCGGCGAGTGTTTGTTCGTTTGTTTTTTTTAAATTTTTAAATGGTTAAATAGTTTTGATTTGATTTGTTTCGCTGGTTGACATACACAGGGCTGTTTGTTGTGGCCTCTGTTGAGACATGTCCCTCTGTGTTTACATTCAGCACCAACCCCGTATATGCAAGAACGTGTATGTGCTAAATGAGCTATAAAAGCAGATGGTTGTCTGGCGGCATCTGCAGATAGAGAAACCAGAGAGAGCCGCAGAGCAGCTGCAGGAAAGCCCTGTGGGAGTCTACAGCGCCGGCCACCGGTCTCTCCGAGCGAGCCGATGGCACTCTGTAAGGAACAAGCACACTTCTCGGTATGTAAAAAGACTGCAGCTGTGGTGTCGTCACTGAATATGTTTTCAAAAAGCTTTGGCTCGAGAAAGCCTTCGTAGTCTTTATCAAGTGGCTTCTTGTTAAATGGTTTTGTGCTGCTTTCTCTAGAAGTCGCGAGTCAGTCAAAGATCACAGAAACTTGCTGTGACATGTTGGTTTCATGTACGATTATGAAACGTGTGCCATAAGCTGAGAGTAAGGCGTTTGAAATGGGTTATGGGAAAGCTCAGCTTCTTCAGCCTCTGGTTTTTCAAAATTATTTTCTTGCATTGGATTTATTTTGAATAATGAAAATATCTCAAACCACCATGTTTATGTCTTCTAAACAATAATCAAAAGTCTGGATGAACATATTTATGTATAAATGTTTACTCCACATGGCTTTCTTGCATTTCTTTCAAATTTAAAACTATCAAAATATTAGAAAAAAGTCCTGAAAGGACCTCAGAAGAATTGATTTATTGTAAATATGCAGATATTTACATATGATATATGCAGCATTTTAGACTTGAAGATTTGTTGGTTTCGGGAGGATTAAGCAACATAATCCACCAAATAATTTGTGTACACAGCAGCAAATATAAAAAATTAGTTGGGCTACAACTAATATTTAACCTGACAGTTGTTATCACTTCATAAAATGTCAAAATAATAATAATAACAAAGTGAAAGTTCCCACAGCTCTACACGATGTCTGTAAATCTCCAAACGCCAATAATGTAAAAGAGAAAACGACAAGCAAAGTAAATGTCTGGCATTTCCACTCAGCCTAAACAATCACAGATCGACTAATTGATTAAACCTTTCAGCCGCACACTGGGTTCAAACTGAAACAACAGCGGCCTTCATCCTACAGTCAAGAGGAGATTTGTTTAAATTAAATCATAATGGATTTTCATGCCATTAACATGCCCCGTGTTTCCACATCACAACAGCCCTCATTAACATCTCAGCTCCTCCCCTGAGGGCAGCAGTGGGAGGCAGCGGGTGGAGGAGGGTGTGATGGTTGAGAGACGAGGCTTGTTTTTCAGTATGCGCAGCAGGAAGGAGGGGGGGGAGACAAAAAGAGGCGAATAGGTGAGAAGAAGCCTGGATTCAGAAGCCGAGCCTGAGCAGGATCCTGCTGCTGTTCTGTAACATGATCAATGACCTTGCATACTGTCAGATCCCGGTTTCCTGCACGCGCTCGCTGGCTTTTGTTGCTCTCTCTGCCTCTCACTGTACTCAGCCCCATAAGCTCCAGATCTAATTAAGACTTGTCTCTTTTCCTAGAAGGCTTGGCGGCTGTAATAGTCTCTCCTCCTGTAGCGAAGATGGCACTGTGATTAGATTCAGAGATACGAGAGCAACAGCTGCCAGCTGGATGAAACTTATTGGCCTGAATCGCGTTAGATTCCTCTGATTGGGACCGCGATTGCGTCAAAGCCTCTGAGTTATAAATGTGTGTTCAGAAGTTTTTCTACATTTCCTCAAAGATCAGCCTCAGCAGAGGGGTGGAAGATGTACTCAATCAGTCGAATCATGTTTTTGTAGTATTTTCAGCAAATATACTTAAAGTTTCAAAGCAGTCAAATTACTCGTTGCAAAGCCAAGAGGATCTATTATGGGCATTTCCACCCTCTGCATTTATATTCTTAGATGCTACTAGAGCAGCTTTGCATGATGTGCAGTTCAGTTTTTCCTCATGCAGTCCCTTACTTTATCTACTGTATGAAAAATAACTATTTGTAAAACAGAAGGTTTGAATAGCAAGTGGGCGGGGCCAAAAGCCTCATTATTTTGGCTATATGAACGTCCTCCACAGTCCTTGATCAGTCAGTTTCAGGAATGTTTTCAAATCTTTTACGAGGTTTGTTAGCACGTGTCTGTGTTGCTCATTTCTGTAACTTCCTGTAACCACTTAGGTCTCTAGTTTTAAATTTATTCCTTGACGTTTTTGGCATTTTTCAGAACACATTGTAACACAGCTTCATACACTATACACTAATACGGTCATCTCAGGCACACAGGACTGACTGTGAGCACAGAGGCCACACCCACCTGCAGTTCAAACCCCCTTGTTTACGAGGGGCAGCCAATCGTGAGAAAGTAGACTTGTTTCAGACAGTGGATGAACTGAGCAGTAGGTGTAATGGAGGTCGCTGTTTTGGATTTTACATTTTATCGTTTACTCTGAAATATCTGAAAATATGAATCATGAAAAAGAAAAGACAAATATCCGTTTAGTGGAAATAAAAACCACTAATCTGACACCTCAACCAAGATAAGTTCACTGGTATTGGTAGTTTAATCTTAATGTTATCTATGTTTTTCTTTGAGAGCAAAACACAATATTTGGCTGCATAGTGTGGTGTGGTGAAATGAAAGTAGCATAAAATATAAGTATATACAGCGGATTTTGACCCTTTTGCCAAAAAATCTGCTCGTTTCCGATGAGAGTGTGTGAACGTGGTTTTTGTGCTCGGCTGAAAAGATTTCTGATCGCGACGGTACGCATTTAAAATTCGAAGATGAAGCCAAGCGAAGAAATTTTCAACGTGAACTCCCCAAACAGAGAAAAAGCCAGAGAGAAGAAAAGCCTCCCAGCTCTGTGACTGCCCTGCTCACGTGGTTTTTGATTGGTTTCAGTTTGGTATTTGGAGTATGAAGGGTCAGCGTGGGCGACTGCTTGTATGCAGCATGGATAGGAGACTTTTTGGCAGTTGAATTCGTGGCTGTATTGAGCTGAATGGCTGTGGTAACCCTGATTGTGCGAGTGTTTGTAGATATCTTAAAGCTAATGGACAGCCAGCACACACACACACAGGGACAGTATTAGAGGTTAGTAGCTGGATTACTTCATTCAGGCTGTGCTGCATTATCACCAGCTCAGCTGTCATTAACTCAGATGTTCCCACAGAGATGAGGCGCAGTGTCCTCCACTGCTCCACTCACACACAAAAACACACAGTGATCCCTCTTTAGGTCAGTTTTAAAGACAGAGGAGTTCGGGCGCTTGGCCGTCAAAAGTGAGTCACTGCTTATTTTTGCTTTTAACATGCCAACACCAACTTTTTATGCTGCAGCTTTGGCCGGCCTAATTACAGTGTGCCGTGTTGATCCTGGAGTTTTTGCCTGTGAACTATTTATCTTCTTTACCCCGGCAATGACACTGCAAAAAGTGCTTGGTCACGCTGCATGTTGTCCCTGGCCTGGATAAATATTTATCTGATTTTCTGAACCTCTTTTGCGGCCAAACTGTAAAACCCTGAGAATTCCCCATAATGACTAATACAAAAATAAAGCAGAGGGAGCTTCCTCTTTTTTCCCAACCAGACCACAGTACAGTGAGGTTAAATGTGCAGGCTGGCGTCACTTAGGGAGACACTTTTGTCATTTAACTGCCCGGCTCATCGCGTTTATGTAACGCAGGAGGCCGAGCACTTGTTGGAAGTCTGCCTGCTGTGAGCGGGGTGAATCCCCTCCTTTAACTATTGACTCTGGTCACTTTAAAAGCTCGGAGTGAGCCCTCCCACAGCGACCTGCAGGCTGTTTCTCACTGCGACCTTGCAGCTTTATCTCACCCCCTCAGTGTCAGTCAAGTCAGCTTTGCTCCGCCTTCGGGGAGCTTCAACTGAGCAGCACAATTTGTTGTTGACTTAAAAAATCCTCACAAGATTCTGCAGTTTTCACGGCCATTTCCAGAATCTTGTTTTTTGTTTTTCGCCCACACTCAGCCTTGAATGTCTCTTTTTTTTAAATTTTGGAGTTGAAAAGAAAAACAAAATTGCCGCTGGGTGCCTCTGAGAGCGGCAGCGGTTTGCTGTTGTTTAAGACAAAGTAGAGGAGGCTGTATTTATAGCTGGGACACTTCAGGCAAATGAAAGAAAATCGCATTTGACTTTGCTCTCCAAAGAGGGAAACTGACCATCAATCATTTCAAAATCACATTAGGAAAAAAAAAAGTCTAACCCATATCCCTTCAAAAACCATCACTTGACTTCAATAACTCATGATGGCAGAAGAAGGAAAGTTTCTCTGTGTTCATACGTGAACATACCAGCATGAATTTCAGAGGCCAGTCGACTATTTGAGCTGATTAGTTTAGATTTAGTTTCGTATTTACAAAATTGGTGTATCTGTCATAACATTTGAGAAGCTGAAACCAGAAGTTGCTTAAAAATGCACACATTGTTGATTCATTTCCTTTTAATTCGATTGTTTACTTTGGCTTATCCTGGAAACCTTGAAACAATATAAAGTCCTGTATCCAAAACACAAAAATATTGGCATATGTAATGTTAAAAACACACATTAGACAGCTTTTTTTTTTTTATGTCTGAAGAGAATAATGTATTAGGATCTTTGTTAAATATCATCAAATGCATACACACTAAGTATTTCCTGAATAACGTGTGCGTAAAAGCAGAAGCAGTCTCTGCACAAAAAATCAAAACCATGGTGTCCTCAGATAGAAAAAAAGCTAAATTTAAGACTCATGTAATACTGCTTCACATGAAATTTAGGATTAAACACTTCAAAAGTTTCCCTCAGTGTGTTGATGTCGGTGTGAATGATATGCTTTTTAATGTGAAAAGGAAAAAAAAAACACCTCAGACTAACATGCAGCCTCATTGTCAAAAAGGAACTGAAAGACGAAGGCTTGAGATCAACAGTGATGTTTAAAAAACAAAAAAAGGGGGGGATAAAAGCAAAGTCCTCTGGTAAACACCTCAGTCTTCTTTAGCTGGTGAGTGAGCTGTTAGGCAACCAGCAGTTGGCAGGACGCTTTAAATTCCTCCGAGACAAACAGAGAGAGGGAGGGAGGCCGAGAGAAGGATCCCCTGGAGGGTGCCAAAGCCGGTTTTAGTGACGTCAGCCGGCCTGCACTGTTGCTCTGTTTGGCCGGGCCCTCCCTTCCTCCTCCCCCCCTCTCCCTGGGCCTTACAGGAATTCCCCTCCTCGTCACATTATTCTGAGGAAACCGCAGGCAACGCCCCGTGCTGCTGCGCAGCCACAGCTGATAGGGCGGAAACGCAGGCTTGTGACTGCTTGTGTTGACACAGACTTAAGTATGCACTTGTTGTTCTCTGCAGAGTCTCCTTCTGTCTCCTGAACAAAAGGAGTTCACATCATCAGCGTCCAGCAAAGAAGTGAGTTTTTGTCCCGTGAAAGAACCCACTCGTCACGCTCTCGGGGATTCTCTGCAGCGTTTCCTGTTTACCCTCTGAGGTCAGAGGTGTGAAGTTTAGCTTTTGTGGGGGGGGTCGGCGAAGGCTTGTGGGACACCTTTTCCTCGAGTCTGAGTCGTCAAAGCGAACGGCATAGACAGGAAGCAGTCAGTGAGCTGTCACTCATTCACGGCGCCTCAGTAATCAGCCAAAGTTGGGCATCGGGGCAGTCGAGCCTGAGGGATCCAGAGTGTGTTTGAAAGTTGTTTTTATCTTTGGATGTTGCTGTGACGGGAAGCAGCGCTGCCATCGGGTTTGATGTGCCACACTCTGTGCAGGATTGCAGGCAACACAGCAACAGATTGATGTGTAAGTCTGTGATGAAGTTTCACTTTTTCTTAACTTTGAAATATAAATATGTCATTTCTAATCTGCGCTTAACTGTTTTGCATTTATGCCGAATGAAACCAAGTATTTATCTGACACGTTTGCTATTATTTTGGCTTTTCTCCCCCTCCTCATCATTGTTTTGCCTTTAGTCAAAAAATAGTGAAAACCCTGTACCACAGATTCTGCAAACTGGAGGTGACGTCTTTTTAAAGTGGTTAAAAAAATATTCTGTGGATTTCTTGTCATCTGTTAAGTAAATGTTGACCGCACACTGTGATGGCTGTAACGTGCTTGCACCTTTGTGCATTTAGTTTGGTTATTCATAAGCCTCATTTAGCTTCCTGTTGCCGCTTGGAGGTATAGTTGGCGAATATGCTTATTTACTTTATTTCTGACAGGTGTGCGTGCGTAGTAAGCATATACACCTCGAACCGGCAGATGCTTGGCTTAGCATAAAGAGCGAAAACAGAAGGAAACGAAGTGAATCCGCATTATCGCACCACATTATCACACATTATCCACCGTAAAAACAAGCCATCGCAAAACAAAGAAAAACAGACTGCTGCTCATTCTTCCTCTGCAGGACCAGTAACGTCCTAGAGCCTCTGCTGGCTGCAAATACAATATAGCTTTAGTGAGGATAAGAGGCGGTTCAACCCCAGTACACTGAACCCAAGTTTTCCTCATTGCATTCATCACAGTAATGTTTGTGTTTGTAAGAATGGCTGAATTGTAGTTAAAAAGTGCTCAGTGAGAGTAGAAAAGCACTTTATAAGTACCAGTCCATTTATTATTTACTGCTGACTGTACCAGCATGATTTGGAGAGGACGATACTGGTCCTGTGTGGAACTAACAATTATTTCCAGCTTGTTTTTCCCACTATAATTAGAATTAACCTCGTACTAAGATAACTACCTGCTCACTTCAGCTTCAGATTTACTGTCCAGATGTGTGAGAGGTATTCATTTTCTTACTGTCACAACATCATCAAAATATTCTTTCGTTTTATTCCTCCTGTTGATGAAATGCTCCCCTGCTCTGAACATTTGCCTGCTAATATTTTGTCCAAAAGTAAATAAATATATAATGCTCGGCATTAGTTATACTAAGTGAGTGTTTATGTCAAATATAAGTCCATAAACAGATGGGAAATCTGCAGTAATAATGACAAAGTAGCTCAAGAACAGCTGCTAAACTAACTAATATTCAGTTTTAATTCATTTCAAGACAAATTTAAGGAAGGATCATATTTGAAAAGCTTAAATTTGAGGTAGCGTGGTCTGCTCTGAGCAAAAAAAATCATAATGAGAATTGAATTAGGTGGGTTGATTGCATTAATCTGAATATTAAATGCCTTAAAGGTCTTTCAAAACCTCAAATTCTTATGGTCCCCCCCTGCCTCCTACCTCCTCTCCTCCTCCTTGTTGCTTGTGTGACGCACGGAGCTCACCGTACGTGTGCAAAATTTATTTTCACGCTGAAGTGACTGAAATGTGCTTCCTGTCCCACACGGCCCATCGAGGCGTCGCTTGACGCCACATCGGCCGTCCGTCGCCAAGCTCAGTAAAGCGGAACCGCCGCAGCGTTGTTTCTTCTGTGTCACAGCCCCTCAGCAGCCAGGGGGAACTCGAGACGCTGACTGGATGCAGTTTGACATGCAGCTTGTTTTTACTTCCAGTTTCTTCTTTTTTTAGACTCCTCAAAGAAAGAAGTGGGTGTTTGTGTACAGTTGAGAGCTCGCTGCTAAATTTCAGTGACTGTTTCACGTCTTATGTGAAACTGTCGGGCTCAAACGGTGACATCAAATTCAAACTGAAAAGTTGCTCACAGTTCAGTTAAGGGTTTTTAAGGGTTTTTTTCCTCACAGAACAGGAAATGTGTGCTAGAGCTGAAACAATCAGGAATTGACTGATAACAGTTTGATTTGATTTTAGTGGTTTGAATGATTGAATAAGCATTTTAATATCTTTTCAAATGAATAGTTCAAACTTTACTTCCATATTTAAGAGTTTACATGGTGTCGAACATGAGAAGAGTTGTGTTGTTAGTTGGGGTTTGAGTGCTCTTATTGTGGTAGATCACCGTAGCTGCAGGGGGAAGCTGTTCCAGCTGAGAGAGCTCGGTCGGCGGCGAGAGCCAGACGGGAACTGGGAATACTAAAAGCTTCTGGTCGATGGATCGATGGATAAATAACCCGGGGCGAGCCCGTGCATGTGTTTTTATGTGACGAATAATATTTTAATACTAATTTAATGCTGATTAACCAAATCGCTGATGGTCCTAACGCTTTCTACGGCTGATTAAATATTTCTTGATTTCAGCTTCTCACATGTTAAATGTTTCCCTCGGTGTATTAAATCACTGTAAGCACGGTGTAAAGTATTAAGCTCTGGATGGCTCTAATGGACATTTCTCACTAGTTTCCGATGCTTTCAACCCAACAATTAAGTGACGGATTTAAAACCCAAATGAATCTTTAATAGAAACAAAATGAAATAATTAGTCGCAGTCGTGTGTAAAGTAGTTGTTTCATTGAAATTAAATAGTGGTGTTATATTGAGAGTATGTTATATATAAACAGATTCAGCATATGAACAACAAAGTGGAATTTGAAGGCATAAGACGTGATTTTTGGTACTGGAAGTCTTCTGAATAGGACCGACCAATCAGCTTTGACTGAATGCAGGTGAATAATTTCTACAAACAGACGTTGGCTGAAATAATGTCTTTAATCATTGGGCTTATTCTGATGTTGATTTATCTTTTTCAATTTTATCTGCTTTCATGGTTGGACTGTAAACGGTGACAGGAAGTCTTGGTGTGTGCATCAGGCACCAGATATGTGCTGGCTTCAGAACCAAAACTTCAGCTGTTACACCCAAACCTGATTCCACTTTTACTTTAGTGCTAGTACGTCTACTCAAGGACCCTAAGTCTTTGTGTACGGCTCTGCTGGTTTTTTTGTTTGTTTTAAAACTCTGTAAGTTGAATATATTTTGTTTTTTGGTCTGGTTTTGTTTTAGTTCTGACACCTGGTTAAATTTGTGTTTCAATGCAATTTTGACTTCGCATTTTGGTTCAAGGGTTAAGGAACAACTTTTCAAGCTTTGACCAACAGTGAAACAAATCTGCAGAGATCCAGAGAAATCACAACTCTGCACGACTCAAAAAAAAAATTTTTTTTTAAGATTATTTTTGAGCTTTTTATCTTTTATGACAGTTTGGCAGCAAAGAGGGAGCGAGTGCATGGTAAGAAATGCAGCAAAGGGCTGCAGGCCGGACTCGACCCCTGGCTGCTGCCCCACAGCCATAAGTCATACAGGCATCTGCTCAACCAGTGAGCTAAACTGGTGCCTGTATCTGTCAATTCTTTCTATTCGTTTTAAGGAAAGCCATACCCCGTAGAAACTACCTTGATTTTTTTTTTCTAAATTAAAGATTAGAGGAAATTATTGGAATAAATTAGAAACAAATAATAAATCTGGGATATTAACTGCAGCAGCATCTTAATTTTCTTGGGTAGCTTGTTAATAATTTTTCTACAAAACGAGCTTGACACCTTCCGTGATTTGCAGCTGCGGGATGGAACGCATCATTTATCGTGTCTTGGCTTTGCGTTTGGAAGTCTGGTTCTCTCTCGTCTATTTTGGTGCATACAGTTTTTTGGGGGAGAAGGTTTTTAATGCGTGCGTGGACCGAAAAAGATAGAAGAGGATAATATTCACGTTCATCTCCGCCCGCACCATTAAAAACCCCTACACATGAACACAAACACGCACTCTTCTACCCACCCGGTAGGTTTCTCGTTATATCAATTTTTCACAAGGGTGCCCACGCGGTCCCAATAATCAGTGGCCTCCAGTCTGCTGCTTCTTCCACCTACAGTTTCCTGCGGAGGCAGCAGTACTGTACCGATAGCGCACCAAACCTCTGTCTTTGTCTGTGTGCAGGAGGGAGGGTGTGATCTATTTTTCATTTGTTGACTGGGTGTTTGCAGCTTCATCACTGTGAGGATGCAGTAGCTTTAGCTCTTATTAGCATTATTTTTAGAGGTAACTCAGACAAGTGCACCTCTGTCACTGCATTGTTCAGCTTGTGTGTGTGTTTGCTGCCCTGTGTATAAGATCCTCATCTCTCCTCTCTTGATGGTGATACATTATTAAAAGCTGCCCGCCTGAAGCTCCAGTTGATGCCGGGGTTTTTAAAATATTTTTTTTAACTCTTACCTGCCCTGCTGCTGTCACTTCCACTCAACACGCTGCTCATAAACAACACGGTAAACAGCTCGACTCCTGCCCCCCTTCATCCACATCCCTTCCACCTTGTCGCCCCCGCTTCGTGGGATGTTTAGCAGACAGCAGCTGATCTCCAGGCTGCGGGGCAGGATGAGGATCAGCAACCCTGAACCACTTTTCCAAAAAACTGATGGCGCACTGCGTAAAATGTAAACATGAAGAGAAAATAATGATTTTAAAATATTTATTTTTATGTTAAAAAAAACGTATTTGTTCAGATATAAATGGGGTTTGCAGAAGTAAAAACTGGGAAGGAGTCTCTGCTTTGACTCTGAGGGCAAACAGTCCCAGCAATTAAAACATAGCATTTCTCCAAGTAATATGCAAATAACAGCCACGTATCTGTGGTACGCAATATAACTGAAGAAGTCAGAAAATCAGAAGGAATCTCTGTAAGGGACAAGTCTGTGCAAGCACTGGGACGGCTTTACGTTTGTAACCTGATTCTGCGGCTCACTCAAAAACCAGTAACACAGTCTGTTTCTGGATCTTTTCCTTGTTATTCGTTTTATTTGCATAGTAAACTTTTACTTTGCATGTGTGGATGCAGCAGCACAGTTGACCTCCCTGTGCCCCGGTGCAGCTACCGTTAATGCTAAAGGGTTCTCTGCTATTCAGATGAGGTTTGGTTTGGGGTTTTTTTTTTTTTCCATAAAATGACTTACTTATTACAGCAAGACATT